CAAATCTTTGGCTGAGTACCAATCAGTACATGTTTGAGAAAAACCTGAGGCCAAGGGAAAAAAGATCATGAGATTTTTCCAATGAATCTAAACAGTTCCTAGAGCTCCCAAAGGCACCAGCCAGAGTGGAGAGACTTCATAATAACAGGGGCATTGGGTAGAGTCTTTGAAGAGACATGCCTTAGTAGTGGGGCTCAGTTAGTCCCAGAATAAAGAATCTGGACCAGGCATAAAAAAGCTTAAAAACAAGTTTCTAAAGGATCAAACTGATCTCCAAGTTATCTAATTATACACCAGAACAAAAATCCAGTATCTAACAACATAAAATTCACAATGTCTGCATCTAGTCAAAAACTACCAGGCATGCAAAGAAGCAGGAAAAGATGAGATATAATCAGCAGATAAACCAATCAACAGAAACAGACCCAGAAATTCCAGAGATGACGGAATTAGTAGACAGGAACCTTAAACCATTTATTACAAATATTGTCAATATACTCAAGGATGTAAAAGAAAACATAATGAGGGAAATGGAAAAAAATAAGACTAAAATGGAAGTTCTAGAAATGAAAAATATACTGGATGAGTTTAACAGCATATTACATACTCAGGAAGTAAAGATCAGCGAATTTGAAGACATGACCATAGAAATTATCCAAAACAAAACACACTGAGAAAAAAGAAGGGGGGAAAAAAAAAAGAACAGAAGCCTTAGGGAACTGTGGGACAATATTAAGTGGTCTAACATGTAATTAGTGTCCCAGAAAAAAACCAAGAGAGGACAGAAAAAAATATTTGAAGAAATAATGGATGAAAAATTTCCAAATTTAATGAAAACTATACACCCACAGATCTAAGGTCAATGAATCTCAAGCAGAAAGAAAACCACACCAAGGCACATCACAATCCAACTAATGAGAAACAGTAATAAAGAGACAAATCTTAAAACGCAGCTAGAGGGGAAAAAAAGACACATTACATAGAGAAAAACAAAGATAAAAATGACAGGAGACTGACTTCTCATCGGAAATCAGGCAGGCCTAAACATGACAAGCCCACAGCCAATATCATACTCAATGGTGAAAAGCTAAAAGCTTTTCCTCCAAGATCAAGAATAAGATGCCTACTTTCACTACTTTTATTCCACACAGTACTGGAAGTCCTAGCCAGAACAATTAGGCAGGAAAAAGAAATAAAAAATATCCAAACTGGAAAGGAAGAAGTAAAACTGTCTCTATTTGCAGGTGACATGGTATTACATATAGAAAACCCTAAAGACCCCAACAAAAAACTGTTAGAACTAATAAATTAATTCAATAAAGTTGCAGGATATGAAAATCAGTTGCATTTCTATACACTAACAATGAACTATCAGAGAGAAATGAAGAAAACAAGCTCATTCACAATTGCATCAAAAAGAATAAAATACCTAGGTATAAATTTAACCAAGGAGGTGAAAGATCTATACACTGAAAACTATAAGACACTGATGAAAGAAACTGAAGAAACACAAATAAATGGAAAGATATTCCATGCTCATGGATTGGAAGAATTAATATTGTTAAAATGTCCATATTACCCAAAGCAATCTACAGATTCAATGCAATCCCTATCAAAATTCCAATGGCACTTTTTACAGAAATGGAAAAAACAATCCTAAAATTTGTATGGAACCACAAAAGACCCCGAACAGCCAAGGTAATCTCAAGAAAGAATAAAGCTGGAGGCATCACTCTTCCTGATTTCAAACTATATTACAGGGCCAGCCCCGTGGCTTAGCGGTTGGGTGCATGCGCGTCCCACATACAGCAACTAGAAGGATGTGCAACTATGACATACAACTATCTACTGGGGCTTTGGGGGAAAAATAAATAATAAAAAATTGTTTAAAAACTATATTACAAAGCTATAGTAATCAAAACAGTATGATACTGGCATAAAAACAGACACATAGATCAATGGAACAGAACAGAGAGCCTAGAAATAAACCCATGCATATATGGTCAATTAATTTATGACAAAGGATCCAAGAATATACAACGGGAAAATGATAGTCTCCTTAATAAATGGTGCTGGGAAAACTGGACAGCCACATGCAAAAGAATGAAACTGAACCATTATTTGAAACCATAGACAAAAATCAACTCAAAATGGATTAAAGACTTAAATTTAAGACTTGAAACTATAAAACTCCTAGAAGACAACATAGGAGGTAAGCTCCTTGACATCAATCTTGGCAGTGATTTGTTGGATTTGACACCAAAAGCAAAGGCAACAAAAGCAAAAATAAACAAGTGGGACTACCTCAAACTAAAAAGCTTCTGCACAGCAAAGAAAACCATCAACAAAATGGAAAGGCAACCTATGGAATAGGAAAAAATATTTGCAAATCCTGTATCTGATAAGGGGTATAAATATCAAAAAAATATAAAGAACTCACATAACTTAATAGCAAAAACAAACAATCCAATTAAAAAATGGACAGAGGAACTAAATAGATATTTCTCCAAAGACATACAAATGGCCAACAGGTACCTGAAAAGGTGCTCAACATCACTAATCAACAGGGAAATGCAAATCAAAACCATAGTAAGATATCACCTCACACCTGTTAGAATGGCTATCATCAAAAAGACAAGAGACAACAAGTGATGGTGAGGATGTGGAGAAAAGCGAACCCTTGTGCACAGTTGGCAGGAATGTAACTTGGTGCAGCCACTATGGAAAACAGGGTGGAGAGTCCTCAAAAAATTAAAAATAGAACTATCATATGATCCAGCATACGACCCTACTTCTGGGTATACATCTGAAGGAAATGAAAACAGGACCTCAAAGAGACATTTGCACTCCTTGTTCACTGCAGCACTATTCACAATAGCCAAGATATGGAAACAAGCTAAGTGTCCATCAACGGACAAATGAATAGAGAGGATGTGGTACATATATACACAAGGGAATATTATTCAGCCACGAGAAAGAAGGAAATCCTGCCATTTGTGACAATATGGATGAAACTTGAGAGCATTACGCTAGATGATATAGGCCAGACTGAGAAAGACAAATACTGTATGGTATCACTTATTTGTGGAATATTAAAAAAAAAAAAAAGTCAAACTCACAGAAACAGAGAGTAGAAAAGTGGTTGCCAGAGGCTGGGGGGTGGGGAAAATACGGAGAGACTGGTAAAAGAGTACAAACTTTCAGCTATAAGATGAATAAGGTCTGAGGATCTAATACAAAACATGGTGACTATAGTTGATAACACTGCATTATATAAACGAAATTTGCTAAGAGTTGAATTTAAATGTTCTCACCAAAAAATAAACCAATAAATAAATATGTGAGGTGATGGATGGGTTAACTCAATGGGGGGAATCCTTTCACAATGTATTCATATATCAAATCACCATTATGTACACTTTAAATATGTTACAATTTTATTTGTTAATTATACCTCAATAAAGCTGAAAAAAATTTAAAAAAAAATAAATCAGGTAGGCCTATAGAAAAAGGAATGACATCTTTAAAGTGCTGAAAGAAAAGTATGAACCCAGAATTCTATACTACTGAAAATGTCTTTTCAAAAATAAAGGCAGGATCGGCTTGGTGACATAGTGGTTAAGTTTGCACGCTCCACTTCAGTGGCCTGGGGTTTGCGGGTCTGGATCCCGGGTTTGGATCCTGGGTGCAGACTTACTACTCATCAAGCCACGCTGTGCTGCCATCCCACATACAAAATAGAGGAAGACTGGCTAGATGTTAGCTTAGAGACAATCTTCCTCAAGCAAAAAGATGAAAATTGGCAGCAGATATTAGCTCAGGGCAATCTTCCTCATCAAAAACAAAAACAAAAAGAAAACAGAAATAAAGGCCAAGACTTTTTTCAGACCAAGAAATGCCAAAAGAATTCATTGCCAATAGATCTGTACTATAAGAAATGTTAAAGGATGTTTTTAGACAGGAAGAGTGCCAGAAATGGCAAATATGCAGATAAATATACAATAGTCTATCTCATCTTAATTTCTTAAAAAGATAAATGACTTTTTAAAGCAAAAATAATCCCATCGCACTGTGTGACTTATAACAGGTAAGAGTAAAACGTCTGACACTAAAGGATGGGAGGAGGGAAGTGGAAATATATTGTTGGAACCAGTACATTGTACATGTACTGGTATATTATTATTTGAGGTAGACTGTGATAAGTTAAAGATGAATATTGTAAACTCTAGAGCAACTGCTTAAAAAAATAGAGGTATAGTCAATAAATCAGTAGGAGATAAAATGGAATCATAAAAACATTCTTAATTCAAAAGAAGGCAGGAAAAGAAGAAAAAAGGAATAAAGACTAGATGGGACAAATAATGATAAGGTGGTAGATTTAAACCTAACCATATTTATAATTACATCAAATGTAAATGGTCTAAACACACTAATTAAAAGGCAGAGATTATTAGACTTGATAAAAAAAATCAAGACTTAACTACATACTGTCTACCAGAAACCCACTTTAAATACACAGATGAGTTAAAAAAATAAAAGATTGGAAAAAGATATGTTGTCCAAACATTAATTTAAAAAAAAGTTGGAGCAGCTACATTAATATCAAATAAGGTAGATGTCAAAACAAGAAATATCAACAGGGTAAAAAAAGGACATTATGAAATGATAAAGGAGTCAACCCATCAAGAAAAAATATCTAGAGGTTATGTATCTAGTACCAGAGCTCCAAAATACTTGAAGCAAAAACTGATAGAACGGCAAAGAAAAAGTTGCAATCATAGTAATTGATAGGATGAGTAAAAATTATATTTGAATGGTTTCAGAGCAAAAATAAAACAAGCAAGTAAACATAAAATAACTCACTTCACCTTTTAATTCACAAAACTTAAGTCTCAAATTGTAAAAACTTTAGAGAGGCAGAGAGAACATAAAATTTCAGGCTGAACCCTGAATCAACACCAGAAATAAGAGTGGCTATAATGGTTGTAGGCAATTCTTACCACACTGCCCATAAGAAGGCAGTGCAAATCTTAACTAAAGGCTTAAGCAAGGCTTCCGGGAAATGTGACCCACACTGGCTATTATAGTAACAGTGTCTTGACTTTGTGCATTATATGCCGCTCTTGCAGTCATTTAAACACGTGGCAATAATGGGATCTATTCTATTAATATTTGAAAGGACCTAGAGAATAAATTTTTAAAAATAATTATTTTTATAGAATGAAATTTGAGTGTCTATGTGAGAATATATAAAGTGAAGCCAAACTTCTTAATTCAAAAGGAAATTACTGGTTAGATACCAATCCCAAGCATATCAGCTCAGCCCAGAAAGCAAAATCCTTTGCAAGAAGCTGAGTTTATGGTAACCAAAATTATAAAATACTATAATGAAAATCAAGAGTCACATCCATGGATTTCCTGGAAACTACTTTGGAAAACTTAGGAATGGGCACATCCAAAGGTTTTTTTTTGTTGTTTTGTTTTTTTTAATAGACTTTTAAAATGAAAATTTTATGTTCTAAAAATGATACACTTTTTTCTCCGAGCAGCTTGATTACCCCCTTAATCCCCACCTTAGAGGTAAAGCTTTTCCATCCCGGGACAGGAAGGGAGCCTATCACCATCTGAATGTCTGCAATATTCCTGCATTTTGAATATATTATCTCCAATAATCCTCATTGAACTCTAATGAAGCAGAGGTATATTTATTCCCAAGTCACGTTTCTTCTTAGGTTTGTTTCCTTATTGGAAAAATAAGGAAAGTGATCTCTAACTTTCCCTCTGGGTTTAATATTCCATGATTCTATACAAAATATTCTGGCATCTATTCCTGAGAAGCTTACAATCTGGTTCAAGAGTTAAAGACAACTAAGTAATAATTTTAGGCACCAGCAAAAAGCATAAATAACATCAACCAAGTAAACATTATCAATATAACTTGAATAGCTAATGGCTCTGAGAAATCAGCTTAAAACCCTCAGTTAGGATGTATGATATAGAATATACTGGAGATTGAGAGGAGAGAGAGAAGGAAAGAGGGAAGAGAAGAAGGGGAGGAGAAGAGGGAAGGGAAGAAGGGAAGGAGAGAGGAAAGAGAGAGAGAATTTTTACTAGCCAAGACTAAGCTGGTAAATAATGCAAAAATAACTCAGTTCCATTGGTCCCTCTAGGAAAACTGAACAAATATAAAGACACACATCTAGACTTATTGAACCAACCGTCTTTTCCTTTCAGCAGAACATTTGAACAAGGCTCAGAGGACTTGCCCTAAATAATTTTTTTAGCTGTTAAATCTAAAATTACTAATAAATTACACAGATTTTCAAATCAATTATTTTTTTAAAAACTCCTTCTATGTGACAGTTTCAGGGTAGCATCAGTATTGTCCAAGGCATGCCCAGGAGGTCTGGACTTGTGTCACTGAGTACAGGATGCCATTAAAAGAGATGAAAAACCAATCAACCCTGAGTCCAGGCTAGTTCTGAAACTAAGAACTTGTGTTATTCTTCTCCTAGAGGTGAACACAGCTCCTGAGGTGGTAGGGGCATCTTAAACTTCAGTATTTACTTCCCTGATTTTACCCAACTTCAAGGACACAAGCTAGGACACATGTACATGCTACCCCACTGTCACTACTTGCCTGAACCACCCTCTAGTTGAAACTCTATCCCCTACCTTCTGGTTCTGGTTGCCATCTCTGCCACAGAGCTACTTCTTGGTTTTGGTAACCAGTCTGGAGCCCCTTTTTTTGCCTCAATAACCTACTCCCACTTCCTGCCCCCGCTGCTCCCTGCCCTGCCCCTCATCCAGTCCTCATTGCTTGGTATGGTCCGGCTCTTTCGTCTCCCTCTAAACTAAGGCTGCCTTGGCCATGCTGGACTGCATTCAGAGTAAGAGTACCATGCAAGTTATCTAATCTCTTTGTGTCTCAGTTTCCTCATTTGTATAACAGGGGTAATAATAATAATACATACTTCATAGGGTTAGTATGAACAATAAGTGAGTTTACCAAGTATTTAAAACAGGGTCTGATACATAATAAGCACTAGCACTACTACTATTTCTTTTTTGTTTTTTCCAGGTCAAGTGGGAGCTGCAGCTATACTCTCCTTCCTTGCGCTGCCCGTGGATGTGCACCACTGCAAGGGCAAGCGCTGGGAATTTGTCTTCTCTCCCCCGGTATGAAATAAAAGGCGACCATGAGGAAGCAGCACTGGGAATCCACCTCCAAGCTTGCTTTCTGCTCTCTAAATCTATGGGAACTGCTCCCACACAAGGTGTTCTGAGAGCGGAGCCACTTCTGGCTTAAAAATTTAATGCTCTCTACAAATCACTCATAGTGACCAATATTCTAATTCAATGCAAAATGCTGCTAATAACCTCAGATGTAAAATGTTATGGTATGTTGCAAGCTTATTTATCAGTATTTTCAAGCTTCCATTTCCTTCTGGCTCAATGTGTAAAAATTAGACTTTATAAAAGTATGGTGTAATAAACTCATTATATTTTCATAGCACCCACTTAAGTGTTCTGAAGAACTAGGGTAAGTGAGGAAGGCAGAGTAGAAGGCAAACAGAGCAAATGATGATACAATGAGGAAAAGGCCTAAAGTACTATAGTTCCAAAGCTGCGACTACCAACTGCATGAGTTTGGCAAATCATTCCACCTGTCTGAAGTGTTTGCTCATATGTAAAACTGGGATAATAGTGAACCATACTGTAATGCAGGATTTAGTAAGGATCACAAATGTCTTGAATTAAACCACAAACATTATGAAGGTCATGAAGGTTAGGAAGGCCTATGAAAGTAATTTCTTAAGTGGGCAAATGGAGGATAACATTTAATATTAATATTTAGTATACTGAAAACCTTATGATGAGGAACAAAGGGAAGATAAGCTTTGACTACTATAAACAGTAATAAAGACTCATAACTGAAGGACAGAAGCCTTTCCATTGGAGACATCTGAAAACAGATCTAGAAAACGACTAACACAAGAGAGGACTTAAAAAATAGTGCCTCTTGAAACAAGGCAACATAGTGTGCAAATAACAACAAAAAAATATTTTTTAGAAAATTTGAAATTACCTAAAGGTCTCTATATTAAACTTCTTAAGTTTAGTCTCAACATTATACTAATTTACAATGCATATACCTTACACTATAGCTATATTTTGAGGCTAACCTAAAGGATTAGAAGAAGCCACATAAGGAAAATTATAATTCTACTTTTCATTAAATTATGACTAATGTTCCACAATTGGATAGAACAAAAACTAGATGACATTTTTAAAAACTCCAACACCAAATATATAATAAGTCAGGCAAGGAATATAAATCACCATACTACTCTTGTGTCTTATTAGTGACTACAAAGTAAAAAGAAAATAACTTACCTCTATAGCAAAGATTCCTTTGTCACGCCCATATAATTTCATCTCTTCTGGAAAATACTGAAAAGCATTTATGTAAGGAATATGGTCCTCTTCAACAAATCTATATTTTTAAAAAGAAAGTTTCAATAAGAGATATGATTTAGCAAAGTAAATGAAAGAGTTGAAAATGTTATATTTCGAAGACAAGGTAAGAATCAGTTGAGCATTTTCTGTCTCCCACATATTTTGAAGAATGATAAATCTGAAAATATCTATTGTTCTCTGTACCTACGTGTGGAGAAAACATTTAGTCAATTATCAAATGATCTCTAAGTTTCTCACTAAAAAGATGAAATATTTTTCTAAGAAGTGTGTATCTTATTTGTCAGTTCATCACCAGGCTTGCAGACATGGCACTCCTATCCCTAGCTCTCCTCACATGACTAGCTCTCCCTCATCTTTTAGATCCCTTCTTCCAGGAGACCTTCCTCTATCCCTGTTTTCTTTGTTAGAACACCTCCCTTGACTACTCTTCTGTCCCCAGTACCTATAACAGTGTGTGGTAGATGCTTGTCTCTGGAAGAACAATTAAGGGAAGGGACCCCGCCCATTTGCTTACCACTCCATCCCAATGTCCAGTACAGCGTAGCTGATCAAATATTTTGAGTAAATTATTGAGTTTGAAGAAAATAGCACATGTGTATAAATAAATACACACACATATTTATTTACAATTCATTTATTAATTCAACAGAAATTTATTGAGTACTATATGCCCAGCACTATTCTAGCATGTGGGGATACAGCAGTGAACAAAACAGGAAAATATTCTTGTTCCCAAGGAGTTTACATTCTAGTGAAAAGAGAAAGTTGACAAAACAAATAAATGAAATCTACAGTATGTTAGGTAGGAAAAAATGGTAAGGAGAAAAATAAAGTAGGGAAGAATAGAGAATGAGGAATGGGGGTATTGCAACCTGTGCCATATATATATGCATACCTATGTATTAGATTTTTAAAATAAGAAAACTGTTAAGGAAAATAAGATAAGACAGAAATAAGCTAGTATAAGTTAGTATGTTTTGCCTTAAAGTCTTTGTTGTTGCTAGAGGTCGGCTGACATCTGGCTTTCAGCTTTCTAGCAGTTAAAGAACAATATTGATTCAACTTTAATTTCAAATTAAAAATGTGATTTCCTTAACTTTTTAGTCTACTGAAAGTTAAGAATTAAAGAATTTTATGTAAAAATGGTGTTTTATGAAGTTTAATGATAAAACAGAGTTCTTTAAAGCAAGCCTACAGAGAAAACCACCCCCACCTAGGTTTTCATTAATTTCTTTAACTTATATAAAAATATTTGTGCATACTAATCAGTATTCATATTATTTTGGAACTACATTTTTGGTTTAATATTATTTTATATACAGGATATACTGCATGCTTATCATTTTTTATAACTATCTAGTATTCCATGATGTTAACATATTGATAATTTATTTAGTCATTACTCCCATGTGATAATATATATATGCTAGTATTGTGTGAGGGGTGAGGAGTTCAGAAATGAAGAATACATGAAGAGTTCCCACCATGACCCTAGCAGGTCAGACAGATGGCCTGCAGAGGTGTCACTGCAGACACTGCCCCGGTGCCCCCACAGAGGCACACACACTGTGCTGTGGGAGCAGAGGGAGGAATGAGAAACTTGTCAAGGGAAGCAGAAACCTCTGCACAGAGCAGGTCTTGAGCATCTGGGGTTTTGACAATTTTCACCATTTATAAATAGGTTGCTCTTAACCTCTTTCCAGTTTTTTTTTTTTCTTTTTAAATTTGAATTTCCTTTTAGAAAAATATACACTTTTCCAAAAGATAGCTACCGAACGAAAGTTCTGAACAATCTATTCCCTTGTTAGGTATTAAGAGATGAGTCTCTGGATCAACCCAGGAAGTTGACAGAGGAACTGCCACAGACTAAAAGTATCCCATATGCTCCTCCTGACCAACAGACCAATACTCTAGCCGTGTCCCTAAAAACACTATCTCTATACTTTTATTGTACTTTTCAAAAATTTTAATCTGTGACAGACTGGAAATCTAACCAATTGGTTCTTCATCGCAGATGATTTAAGAAGCAGTGCATTAGAGTTAAGTCGTGTCTACCTGCAAAACATATCCTGAACCCATTCATCACCTCCTATCCCACTGTAATCCAAGCCACTATCTCTTGCCTGAAGTATAGCAAAAGACCACCTGGTCTCCCTGCTTCCACCATTGCCTACGTAGAATCCATTTTCCTCATAGCTGCCTGAATGATCGGATCATGTCTCCATGCTAAAATCTTCCAGGGGCTCACTATCACACTTAAAAGCCAAACTCCTAGAGTATGGGTTTCCTTTTGGAATTGCGAATATACCCTGGAAATAAATAGAGGTGATGATTGCACAACCTTGTAAATATACTGAAAACCACTGAATTGTACATTTTAAAATGGTGAATTTTATTGTATATGAATTATACTTCAATTTAAAAAAAAATCTGAACTCCTAACTTGGCTTATAAAGACCTATATCTGGCCCCCACTTATTATCTCCTGGCCCTCATCCTCCTACTTCTCCTTCAAATTCTCTTACTCCCATCACAATAGCTGCCTCTGCTCCTTGATCACACAGAGTTTGCTCTTGCTTTAGGACTTGGCACTAGCAACCTCCCTCTACCTGGAATGCTAGCATTTCTGATATTCACCTGCTGGCTCTATTTTCATTCAAAGTGCAGCTTAAATTCCACCTTTTCAGTGAGGACTTCCCTAATAACCAATCTAGAGTAGCCACCTAGTCATTCTCTATCACATCATCCTATTTCAATCTTCAGCACAGCACTTTACTGTCTGACTATTTTTTATTTATTTATTATGTATTTGCCCATCTGTTTCCTCCTCTAGTCTAGAACTTCATGAGAGCAGGGACTTGATCTACATGGTTCACAGCTGTATCTCAAGAGTCTAGCCTCTAGAACAACACCTGCACATAGTCAATGTTCAATAAATATTTATGTTGGCTATTTTTATTTATTATTGTTGTTATTGGTGGGAAGGCAGGGTCCTTTAAACACTACTTTAAGGATTATGAATTTAACCCAAGAACTATAGACACTGCTATAGGATTTAAACAGGGGAGTGACATGCCGGATCAGTATAAGATATATGGGTATTGTGGCCAGGCTAACAATGTATCTGCCCTTCAAATCAATGTTCTTTAAATATTTTTTCAAAATTTGGCAGTAGTTCTCAAACTTTAGCATCCATAAGAACGCCCTGGAGGGCTTATTAAAACGGAGACTACCCGGCCCTACCCCCAGACTTTCTGATTTAGAAGGTTAGAATGGGTCCAAGAATTTGCATTTCTAACAAGTTCCCAGGTGATGCTGATGCTGCAGGTCAGGGGGCCACACTTTGAGAACCTGTGACTTAGAACTCTTTCTCCAAGAAAAACAGAGTAAGAGGATCAGTGGTGACAGTCTCTTCTCCTATCACTCCAAGCAATTAAGCTTAGTTCCCAAATTTGTATGTCCCACAGAGCAAAATAAAAGCCCTCCAGAAAACTCGATCCAATCTCCTTGAGGCACTTTAGAATTCCCCTTGCAGGCAGGAGAGGCAAGAGGGAGGAAGGGAAAGAGACATACAGACAGACAAAGGTGTATGATCTTATCCCCATCCTTCCAACCACATATAATACTCTCCTTGAGAAGAATTTTGGGTAAATATTATTTTCCCCTTCTTGCTAGATTTCTAGGAGAGTTTTTTACCCCCTTACAGACTGCCCTGGGTAGGATGGCTAGCCCCTTTATCCAGCTCTAATGATAGGATTAGATTGCTGTTTCTGTACAATCCCTCTGGTTATCAGGAGGAAAATGAATAGCAGTGGCAGAAGACTACAGGCATAGGGCTCACTTGGGAGGTTGCTAAGTTATCCAAGATAGAGACAGAGGAATGGGGAGAAAAATGGTTTTGAGAGTTATTTTGGAAGTATAATTGATAGGACATAATGACTAATTGTATATGTAGCGAAAGGAAAGAGTCAAGGATGATTCTTAGGTTTCTGGATAGGACGCAACAGAGTACATGGTATTTACGAAGAAAGAAACCACTGGAGAAGGAGCTGGATGAAGAGAAAGATGAACCTCTTTTAGTCATGCTGATTTTGAGATACCATAAAGACACCAAGTAGTATCCAGCAGGCAGCTGTATATATGAGTATATGGGTCTGGCCCTCAGTAGACAAGTCCGGGCTGGAGATATAAATTTGGGAGTCATCATCATATAGATGGTAATTAAAGTCTTGGGAGAAGATGAGATCACCCAATGAGGGCAGACAGAGCAAGATGAGGTTTTTAACTTAACAGTAAAATTCACTGAATCACGGACTATCTGCATGCAGAATTAACGACATCTGAGAAAAGCCATGTTATTTGGTTGATGTAGCCAAATTCAAAGGCACTATCATTATTTACTAGAGGCATTTTATTTAATCAAAGCACCTAGTGCCAATAATGATGATGATGACGATGAAGGAAAAAACAATAATAACTAGCATTGAGTTTTTATTACGTGCCAAGCACTGTTCTAAGTGCTTTTCATGTAGTACTAATTATTGAAAGTAGTTACAACCCTATGAGGTAGATATTATTATTAGCTCCATTTTACCAATGAGGAAACAGAGGCAGAGAGAAATTAAATAACTTACACAACGTCACATAACATACAAGTGGCAGAGCCAGAATTTGAAGCCAGGAATCTGGTTATAAATCTGTGCTCTTAAAACCACTCAACACACTGATTAAATCCAAATGTTATTATTAAGAACACATATAAAGCAAGGGAAAAATCAACATATTAATGATTTTGGCACATCTTCTATTTAACAAGAAATTCTTACACACAATGCCATAATTTATTCATTAACTATAAAATGCTGTAGATTATCTTGAAAATGTATATGCTGACTATCTACATAATAGCTTCTTCCAAAAGTTTTGTTTTCAATTTTACCTTACAAACACAGACAACCTATATTTTAGTTCTTAACACTAGTGTATGCTTTTGTGTAACTACTAATAACCATTTGCCAATGTAAAGGTCATCTGTTCATCTTCTCTCTTAGAAATGAAAAATACTTATACTACTACTCAGGTGCTTATACATCATTTTTCATCTTCAAAGCATTTTACTCACATTACATAATTAATTTTCCAACACCCTGTGTAAGGTAAATACTATTATTTCCACTATACAAATAAGGAAACCAAGAAGATAAATTACTAGTCCAGGGAGGATTACATTTCAGAAGTAGAACGCAGGCTACCCAATCTTTTCAGTCCCTTCCTCAATTTGAGCCTCTTTGTAAAATTCAAAATATCCAAAGGTTGTCCCCTAGTTGACACAGATAATCAGCAAAGAGATCATCATACAAGAGGCCCAGCTTACCTCAAAAGATCTGAAAGAGTAATTGTCTCTCTCTGCCAAAGTAATGACAGATAGCAGAAAGCAAGTGTTCTTGGTACAGTCATCTTCACAATTCCTTTCTCCTTTCGTAGTGAATACTCGACTCCATCAAGAGATCCAGAACAGATGGATGCCGTTTCTTAGGGGATAAATGGATATTTTTAAAAGTGTAAGTAACTATTTTGGACAACAAAAGAAGAAAAACAACAAAAAACCCAAAGAGGCGTTTTAAATGTCTTCAAATCCGGTTAAAATTGATATACTGTTTACAAAGAGCAATTTGGCAATAAAGAGCAATGACGGTTTAGAGGAAATCGGCCAAAAAGGTAATTGTTGGTTCTTTGTGCAAGTGGGATGGGCCAGGATTCTAAAGAGGGATTTAACCTGCTTGAATTATTTTATAGCGAACAAGAACAATTTTTCAAATAAATAAAAGGGTAAACAATTACAAAGGAAAGCAAAAAATGTTTAACTCCTTTGACCCAGGCCTCAATTCACATGCCTCCTTCTCTGAGAGGCTCTCCAAAACACTAGCTAGGGCAGTTCCTCCCACTCCCACTCTCCAGGGCATTATTTTATCCTCACTCATTGGACACTTACTCATCCCATTCTTTATGCCACTGTTCTAGGTCTGGTGAACTGACAGTGAACAGTGTGTCATCTCTCTTGGAACTTACATTCTAGTAATGGGAGACAGTCAATAAACAAACAAACAAAATTACAATTGACAGCATGGTAAGTGCTACATAGAAAAATAGCAATGTAGGGGTAAAGTGATGGGAAGGGAAGAGACGTGTGCTATTTTATATGGATGGTCAGAGAAGCCTCTTTGGGAAGGTGCCATCTGAGCAGAGACCAGAATGAATTCAGAGTGTAAGTCCTGAGGATCTCAGAAAGAACATCAAGTGCATCAGCAGGACTGAACTTGAAGGAACAGTAGGAAAGCCAGTGTGCGAGAGCATCATAGGTGAAGCGAAAATGGTAGGAGATGACATAGGAGAGAGAATAAGAAACTATAGTACGTAGGGCTTTGTAGGTCATGATCTGTACATTGAATTTTATTCTAAATATGATAAGAAGTTTCTGCAGAGTTTTAAACAGAGGAGCAACATGATCTCATTTATGTTTCTAAAATGGTCACTCTGGCTGCTGTATGAAGGATGGAGTCCTAGGATGGCAAGAGCGGACACAGGAGACCACTGTTCCCAGAGAGGGATGATGGGCACTGGGACTAGAGTGGCAGCACTACGGGGAGAGGGGCTGGATTCTGGACATATTCTGAAGGCAGAGTCAAAAGGATTTGCTGATAGACTGGATATGAAGCATGAGAGAAAAAGAGAAGTATGATTCCAAAGTTTTTGGCCTGAGCAACAAGAATGAAGATGCCATTTACTTCGTCAAGAAAGATGACAAAAGAGCAGGTTTGATGAGAAAAATCAAGATATCAGAATTGCACGTGTTAAGTGTAAGATTTTATTAAATATACAAATGGAAATGTTGAGTAGACAGTTGAATAATAAAATTTATAGTTCAGAGGGGAGGCTAGGCTAGAGATGGGAATTTTAGAGTCATCAGGATATAGGTGGTGTTTAAAGCCAGAAGTGAGGGCAGATAGAAAGCAGGACTAGGAATAACCCTGAGAGATCCAAGCTTTCTTGGACAAAAACTCTCCAAATTATTCCTCAAAATCCCTTTTTCCAAAGCCTGTAAATCTTTTCTTCACAGCATTTATCAGTAACTGAACTTTTCTTTTTTATGTGTGCATTTATTGTCCAGCTCCTCTCACTACAATCTAAGCACCTTGAAGGCAGACAGCCTTGCTCACCACTGTGTCCTCAGTGCCCAGAACAGGTGCTAGCAAAGTTCTCAAAGTATAGTCCCTGGACCAGCTGTATTAGCACCACCTGAGAAGCAAATTATTGCACTTACCAATCTGTACTCTAACAAGCCCTCCAGGTGATTCGGATGGATGCTAAAGTTTGAGGACTACTGTTTTAAAAGAATATATAAGGACATAGATTTCCATAAACTATTATGTTAAAAAAATACATATATATAAGACAACATGTAGGAACTTCCAGTCAAGATGACAGATTGAAAACACATATTAGCCTCTGCTCTGTCCCACTACGATTATAAAGGAATTTTTAAAAGATATAAACTCAAGAATAAATAGATGGAAAAGGACACAACAGCAATAAAATCTTAATAGCTAGAAAGCATATGGATAGGCAATTATTGCCTTAGCAGTCCTGAGAAAGCTGGATTCAAAGCCAGCGGTAGGAAAAGTCAAAAACCAATCTAATTTTCCCCTGGGGACCCCTAAAGAAGGCTCAGGAATTGGTTAAACAGGTACCCCGGGAAATTGGGTAAAGGCAGGGTTAACACGAGGAGAACTGCTTGAAAGTCTGATTAAGAAGCAGTTAAGACACTCAGATTCCTACCCTAACTTCATGCAGCCAAATGACTTCCCGGCCCCAATCTTGGCAGAAAATTGGAAGTTTCTCATTTAGAAAGAGTAAAACAGTCTCTAGCATAGGGCATGTCAATCAGACACACATTTGACAGTAGGGGTTCCTTACTGAAAACAAGAGGATTAAGTGAAAGTTTACATATTGAGTATTGAGACAATCCCCCACTGCCCTCGGGCCTTCTTCCTACCCAGTTTCCAGAACAGCTAGGATTACACCCTCCAAATAAAAGATTCAGAGATTTCTCTGGAAAATCTGATCAACTTGGGGGGGAAAGATTTAAAGATGATAATACTGGAGGTTCGCTAAGAAAATAACCCAGCTAGATCACCCTCTCATACACAACAGAGCTGACAAGGGTACATAGCTTTCAATCAACTTTTTAGTCTCCATTTTTAAACAGGACTAGCCATCTTAGGCTCATTAAACATTTGAAGAAAGCCTCTCATATAAAAAGCAGAGGACAAAACAATCAAATCAGACGGGAAATAACTTTAATATCCACAGCAAAATAAGAAAAGATGCTCCACAAAAATGAGGGAGTAAACCAGGAAAGATGAAATGGGATCAAGGAAATAAGGTATTTAACAAAAGAGAAGTGATAGACTCCTCAGGATAGTGGTAAAGAGATCCCAAAGACAGCTGGGACCCACGTGTAGAGATAAATCATTCTAGATAGCAGCAGGTGAGAAGCTCCAGAAAGACTTCTTCCGGAAGATGAAATTGATAGAATTTCTAAGGAATTGAGAGATTTTCAGAACTGGAAGTGTGGAGATCCAATAGTACTAAATTATAGATTAGTAATAAATAAATAGGAAAGTAAACAAATAGGATAATTATCAATACTGGGAAAACCAAAGGATATATAAAGAGTAATCAGATTAAGCTACGTGGCTCAGTTCTAAACAGCATTTATATATTTATAATAATTTAAGCATTAAATATTGATCTAGTAAAAAATTATAATTATATTGGGAAGACAGAGAAAATGCATAGTTGTGTGCTGGTGGCTACGTGGGGACAAGGGACAGTGAGGAATGTGTGAAAAAGGTAAGACTTCACCCTCCATGTAGGAACTGAACAGCTAATGTGGAAAACCAGAAATCAAGATGCAGTACTAGAAGCATATGATATAGAGAGATGGAGGTTGCAAAAGAGCTGAAAATGAATGCCTCTTGGGAATAGGACATTTGCGGGGGACGGTGGACTACAATTTATTTTTACAATTTTTTTATAACAAGTCTTATAAATCTATTTGAATTACATGCACGTAGAATTTTGATTTAAAAATTTAAAGAATGAAGGGGCCGGCTCAGTGGCGCAAGTGGCTAAGTAAGCGCGCTCCGCTGCAGTGGCCGGTGGTTCGCCGGTTCTGATCACGGCCGCGCACTGACGCACCGCTTGGCAAGCCATGTTGTGGCGGCGTCCCATATAAAGTGGAGGAAGATAGGCATGGATATTAGCCCAGGGCCAGTCTTCCTCAGCAAAAAGAGGAGAATTCCTGATCTTCCTCACAAAAAAACAAAAAGCAAACAAACAAAACTTTAAAGAATGAAGAAATAGTTTACATTTTTGCAAAAACAAAAATAAAACTCTTTCCCTTTCTCTCTCTATATACATGAATAAAAAACTTTCTAGAATGATCTACTACAGCAATAATGGTTATTTCTAGGTGGTACTGGGAATAACTGGGAATTTTATTTTCTTTGTGAATATCTGCATTTTATAGTTTTGTAATAAGAGTTGTATTATTACGGGGGTTGGCCCGGTGATGCAGCGGCTAAGTGTGCGCGCTCCGCTTAGGCAGCCTGGGGGTTCGCAGGTTTGGATCCCGGGCATGCACTGAAGCACTGCTTGTCAGGCCATGCTGTGGCGACGTCCCATATAAAGTAGAGGAAGATGGGCACGGATGTTAGCCCAGGGCCAATCTTCCCCAGCAAACAAGAGGAGGATTGGCATTGGATGTTAGCTCAGGGCTGATCTTCCTCACAAAAAAAAAAAAAAGAGTTGTATTAATAGTTACTTTTAATGTAAACACTAAAATAAAGCTCTGAGGCTCATTATTTACTAAAAAACACACACACAAACAAAAACCCTTAACATAGGTAAACAATCATGATGTTTTAAAAGGCTTGGATGGTTTTGGAGTCACAGTCCTCTAGGACCATTTGAGTTCAGGCTTGCCTGAGAGCAGGGAGAAGAAAACTCCAGAGATTCATTGCTGCCCGATGATTCTATGGTTCTAACTTCTTTATTTCTTTGGACACTGAAAGCAACTTATCTGATATCTGTGTCACTGTGCAGTTTGGCAAGAAATGCAGATATGCTGATAAAAAGAATTTTTAATCTTTGGAGGGCAAGGGGCTTGCAAAGAAGCAGTCCATACAAAAAATGTTGTGTTGAAAATTTTATATAACACACTTAACCCATATTTCAACAACCCCTAACACCAGAGGGTTTGGAAGCTGTCTCCCAAAGAACTCTATTAGCACACATTAAGATTCTAGTAATCTATAATAAAAGCCTGGTCGGTTCTTTGAGGTCTGTTTCCCACCATGTTTTTTTTTTTAAAAATGTAGTGTGGAAACAACTAAAATTATGAATAAATGCTTTGGGGAGAAGGTCTATATCTGTAACCTTAGATATACTCCTCATTTATTTTAAATCATGGAATTAAATCAGCAGAAAAGATGCAGACACATACATACATACATACACACACACACACACACACTATGGTAAATTTTATTCAGCTTGCTTTAGTCTGTGCTTAGAAATTGGGCATATCTTTGACTCTTGTCCATCTTACCATATGGCTGAGTTCTATCATTTCTCTGCTGCAATTTTTCTTGAAAATCCTGAGCCCACACATATATACGATCTTTACTGAGCTAGCCTCCTTCTTTCTGTATCCACTTACTGTTTAGCTCCCTTTAAAAAATTAAAAAACCACACAAAAATACTAGTGTGGAGACAAGGTACCTTTTTAGAAATTGCACTAAGACTTCATTTGATTTACCTTTCTCCTAGCCATATGATTCAGCAAGTCATTCTTCTTGCTAGGCCAAGTTCCTTTCCTTGGAATATGAAGACATTGGACTAAATTATTTTTAAGATGCATTACCAGCTTTAAAATTCAAGGTAGTGTGATTCTCATTTTTACCTGATTGAGATGCTTTGATGATGGGGAAAGGTTTTTGAGTGTGCACATCAGGCTGAGACTCGGCTCCACTTTCAACAAAAGAAGGACAGCTCAAGTCACTGAGCAGCTCAGGCTCACTGTCCCAGTCTGAATGACTTGGATTATCTTCTAATACCTATTTGCAAAATAATATAAATAAAATTATTGCATAGGAATTTAAAATGCAATTAATTTCCATGAACTTAAACAATTCCTGACCATTACAAACACTGTAAAGAAACCACTCTAGAGAACTGCAACCATCTGCCAAGTCTCTAAGACTGAAAGACCTTTACTTCTGCAATGTGCTCCCCGGCCACTCCCGGCAATGCTTCTCAGAGAAGGGAAACAGACAAGGGTGAGCGAGGAAACCAGCTACCAGCAGATGCATCAGGCCTCCTTCTCCCTGTAACTAACATCCCTCTTGTAGCTCTAGTATGTACACCAACAAAAACATCAAGTGTCAATAATGACTCCATGTACACTGCTGGCTGCTTCTTACCGAGCCTACCTGGGGAATTTCTGCTTTGCATCTTTGCTAACTGACAGCTTCCAAACCTATATCTCCCGCCTGGACCTCTCTCCTGAACTGAAGACGTGTGTATCTGAGTATCTGACATTTCCTCTTGCGTGTCTCACAGCTGTCTCAAACTTCACACATCCAAAACTGAACCACTGCTCTTCCTGCTTCACCTGTCGTTTCAGTTGATGGCAGCTCCTTCCTGCCAGTTGCTCAGGCCAAAAACCTTAAGTCATCCTTGATGACTCCCCTCTTTCTCTCACACCCCATATCCAATCCATTAGGAAATTCTGTTGGCTCTACCCAAAGTTTCTCTAGAATCCTATCACCTGGTCCCAGCCATTTCTCCTCTCGAGGAGTGCTTCTCAAACTTTAGTGTGTAGAGGAAACACCTAGGAACTCTGTTAAAATGCAGATGCTGATTCAGGAGGTCTGGATGAGGCCTGAAATTCTGTACTTCTTCCCCTAGATATCCTCATGGCTTACTTTCTCCCTTCCTTAAGACTGCTCATCAGGGTCTTCCCTGACTACTCTATATCAAAGAGTACCCTTCCCTGCTATCCCATATTCTGTCCTTCTTACCAGATTTACAGACTTGCTTGTTTGCTTGCTTTTTCTGGAAGTTTTAAGTAATTTATTTCACCCAAGATCACATAAATCAAAAGTACTGGAGCCAGGATTCAGATGCAGGCCTCTTACTACTCTTGGAACAGTTATACCCAAAGCACAAAAAAAATTTACTAAATATTTGAGAAGACTAACTTGTAATTTAAAAGCAAGTGCTCCGTTTTCCTTTCAAAAGAGTTTAGCTGTACTCTTTTGATAGAAATTATATTACCAATTCATATACCAGCTTAAAATTTTGCTTATTGCTTATTTATTCACCAAGAAGATTTTAGTGTGATGCTAACATTACTTTACACAGGTATTTATTCAAGTCAACAAAGCCTTTTTTATTATCTTAAGTTAACCCAAAAGTATTAAAATGTCAGAGAGAATCCCAGGTTCTGATTTTAAATTTCTATTGTTAGGCAAAGCCCCAGTGCATAAATATAACCAACAAATACCTTAGCTATGTAATTTTAAATATCAAGTTCTTAATATTTTGGATAATTCTTTCTATTCTTTTTCAAAGTGTCACCTTAGAACCATATAGCATCTTTTGCTTTTCTTGAGAAATACCCGCCCCCTGAATCAAAATAGGATAATGTTTCATAACACTATGATTATAAAATGTCTTCATTATCTTACACCATACACAAAAATTGACTCAAAATGGATTAAAGACTTGAATGTAAGACCTGAAACCATAAAACTCCTACAAGAAAACATAGGCAGAACATTCTCTGATATCGGTCTTAGCAGCATCTTTTCGAATACCATGTCTACCCAGGCAAAGGAAACAAAAGAAAAAATAAACAAACGGGACTACGTCAGACTAAAAAGCTTCTGCAAGGCAAAGGAAACCATCAACAAAACAAAAAGACAACCCACCAATTGGGAGAAAATATTTGCAAATCATATATCTGACAAGGGGTTAATTTCCAAAATATAAAAAGAACTCATAAAACTCAACAACAAAAAACCAAACTCGATCAAAAAATGGGCAGAAGATATGAACACACATTTCTCCAAAGAAGATATACAGATGGCCAACAGGCACGTGAAAAGATGTTCAACATCACTAATTATCAGGGAAATGCAAATCAAAACTACAATGAGATATCACCTTATACCTGTCAGAATGGCTATAATTAACAAGACAAAAAATAACAAATATTGGAGAGGATGTGGAGAAAAGGGAACCCTCATACACTGCTGGTGGGAATGCAAACTGGTGCAGCCATTATGGAAAACAGCATGGGGATTTCTTAAGAAATTAAAAATAGAAATACCATATGATCCAGCTATCCCACTACTGGGTATTTATCCAAAGAACACGAAATCAACAATACAAAGAGATTTATGCACCCCTATGTTCACTGCAGCATTATTCACAATAGCCAAGACATGGAAGCAACCCAAGTGCCCATCAACTGATAAATGGATAAAGAAGATGTGGTATATATATATATATATATATACACAATGGAATACTACTCAGCCATAAAAAAGATAAAATTGTCCCATATGCAACAACATGGATGGACTTTGAGAGTATTATGTTAAGCGAAATAAGCCAGACAGAGAAAGACAAATACCGTATGAATTCACTCATATGTGGAAGATAAACAAACATATGGATAAAGAGAACAGATTAGTGGTTACCAGAGGGGAAGGAGGTGGGGAGGTGGGCGAAAGGGGTAAAGGGGCACATATGTATGGTGACAGATAAAAACTAGATTATTGGTGGTGAGCATGACGCAGTCTATACAGAAACTGATATATAATAATGTACACCTGAAATTACACAATGTTATAAACCAATATGACCTCAAGAAAAAAAAAAGTCTTTTCCAGTAAATTCAAGTTATTTCTCTTGAGTTTATTTAAATTAATTGTCTCATATTTAAAAAGGACATTTCCCAAACTAATTCCTTAGGTTATTCCCCCTTTTATCATTGTATCTCGCAGGACTTGACTACTCTAAATTTCTCATTTTTAGGATCTATTCCTTTCACTCAGACCTGGGTTTCTCAGTCTTGGGTCACTAAACTCTGCATGTGGGACCTATGAGACCCCAACCAAACAAGGAAACACGGGGCCAAGTTTCCAAGCTCTTAACAAATGTGTGTCAAACAGGTTCAGAATCTCTTCTCAGCCCTGGAGAATAAGTACCACACATCAAACAGATCAAAGTCTATCAAACTGGCCTTTCTTAGCGGTGGAATCCTCCCCTACCCCAAATAAAATGTTTCACGGCATATTTATAAAGCGGTTAAAAGCAAACTGCTAAAAGTATAGCTGCTCTGGTGGATGTTGGGGGAGAGGGGTGAGGCACCCAGACTTATTTTTCTTCACATAAAGGCTTTTGAGAAGAGATGATAACCGAGCTGAATCTGAAATGCCAAGTAAAGTAAGTAGGTATTTCAAACAAAAGAAATAACACATGCCCAAAAAAATTTTTAATAGGACAATGATAGAAATTCCCTAAGCTTCTATTTAGAAACTTAATCACAAATTTCTTTATGTTTCAAATAGTCAAATAAGAAGTCAAAATTGGGGCCAGCCCCCTGGCTTAGCGGTTAAGTACGTGTGCTCTGCTACTGGCGGCCCAGGGTTCAGATCCTGGGCACGCACCGACACACCGCTTCTCTGGCCATGCTGAGGCCGCGTCCCACATATAGTAACTAGAAGGATGTGCAACTATGACATACAACTATCTACTGGGGCTTTGGGGAAGAAAAAAAAAAAGGAGGAGGATTGGCAATAGATGTTAGCTCAGAGCCGGTCTTCCTCAGCAAAAAGAGGAGGATTAGCATGAATGTTAGCTCAGGGCTGATCTTCCTCACAAAAAATAAATAAATAAAAGTAATCTTTAAAAAAAAAAAAAAAAGAAGTCAAAATTAATTCCAAGGTCTAGCCCAGTGACACTGTCCTTCTGGACTATAACGGAAACCTCTTCACTGAAATTCCTTTGACAAGCATCATAAACCCAGATGAGGCTGAATCTCCTCTTCATCTCTGCCTCTCACTAGAAATGTCTTTTAATCCCACTTTTCAGACGTGTGACTTACCGTAGCTTTCCTTTTACTGGTATAAACTGGGTTTTTACAATATGCCTGCTTGCTCTTCTGAAGGTAGCGCTTCCAAAAATTATGTAAAACTTCATTCTAAGGTGAAAGGGAAATGAGTGGTGATTCAGGTTATGATGACAAATATACTGGCACACCTATACCACAGAATCTCTTGTACTTTACATATTGTTTTTCTATCTAAGTGTATTCTTACCTTTCTTACCTACTTTTCCTTAAAAAGAATTACATCACAATACCAGGTATATGGGAAAAACTGAATAAATTCTTCTTAATCTTAGATTTTAGAAAACAAAGGGACTAGTTCCTTAAAGGTCACCTAGTTGAATCCCTACCTTTTGCAAGTAAATTAAGAATCAGAGAAAGAAAGCAACTTATACATGACTACACCTCTAGTTAGGGGCAAAGCTGCTATCGGTCTAGCAATCTACTGACACTTGGGGTCGCAGTGAAAGTAAAAGAAAACAAGACAAAACTGTTTTTCTATTTATTCATCACCTTCTAGGTACCAGGCATCCGTTACCTCTAACACAATACTGCAAGATAACTATTATCTCTGTTTTACTGAAGAAACTGAGTAACCTGACCAAAATGACCTAGCCAATAAGCAGAAAAGCCATGAATAGGATTTGGAGTCAGTTCTGATTCCAGAGCCTGTGTTCTTAGCAGAAAGCTACTCCTGCACCATGTAACTGGTCAGGTCTAAGTGGTTATGCTCATTGGCTAATTTCAGAGAAACTGCTTTCAGGATTAACCCCAATAAAGTGGGTAGAAAGCTATATAGGAGTAAACCCCTGAAGCTATTTGGTGTAACTATATCAAATTATTTATTAAAAAACACTTATACATAGGATGACTATGCAGGGAGAAACCAGATTCATAAACCCCTAGACTAGCAATCACACCTAATGCAATGATTGTCCTGGGTAAGCCCCTGGTGTTTCATATTGTTGGACTTTTAATTCCTATAATACTTTTCAGGGTAGGCTCAGAGTTCACTTAGGCCATGCATTGGTCTAGAGGTCCTTCTGTTTTGGCTTGCCCCAGATACTGGTTTGAACAGCAAAGACTCCTCTACAAATCTGTTCTTGGTGACTTTAGAAGACACTGATCTTTCTCTCTTCTCTTTTTGTCCTCATTTTCATCTATGAGCGTATCATTATATAATCTCGTGTTTACTCATTCCACATATGCATAAAACCCTCTCTCCAACTAGGCTGGATCTCTGAGTACTTGGTTTCCAATGATGGCCATGAAGCAAGTGTACAATAACCACTTGTTGCTAAATAACTGGCTTTTTAAAGAACTCCTGAAATGGCTTCAACTAGATGAGGGAATATGAAACTCAAATACTAGCAGGGATACGATGGTACTCCTAAGAGGCGGCAAAGTCAAAGCGTGATTCCTGGACCAGCAGCATCAGTGTCACCTGGGAACTTATTAGAAATGCAAATTCTTAGGCCCTACTCCAGACCTACTTTGTCAGAAACTCTGGAACGGGGTCCAGCAATCTGTGGTTTGGGAGTGTGTGAAGTCCTCCAGGTGATTCTGATACACATTCAAGTTTGAGCACCTCTGGTTTAATGTATCACTCCCCAAAGTGCAGTCTGTGGAACTCAAGTCCTGATGGACGCTACACAAACATACACACAACAAAGGATTTTGTTCTCAAACTGTGACTACTACATACTACATCCCCTTGGAAATTAAATAAGCACATTAACACATAAAAGGCACCGATTTAAGCCTGCAAAGTTACTTGTTTTACTTTGTTTAACCCAATGTTTCCTAAATATCTGAAGACTAAAACTTTTATTATTTTCTTTTGGATGTACTGCTTATTTACATCCTGTAGAACACACTTTGGGAACTGCTGGTCTAGTAAAACAATTAAAGCAAAAACACCAGAAAAATGATTATTCTAGTAGCCATAATGTTATTATTGATAACCCTACTATTCTCTTAGTTTCACTCGAAGTCTATTATTCTTCAAACAACAAAATGTAAAGCTAACATCTAGACACAAATGGACTTACCTTCAACTCTGGGCCTACTCCAAGGGTCTTTAAGGCTTCTGCTTGTTGATACAGTATGTGCTGAAAACCTTCGCACACATACCAATCCCAGCCTTTCTCTAAATGACATATAACATGGTTCAGACATTTACATTCCTAATTTACTAACAGTAATGCTACTGAATAGTGACAATTGTGTTTTACACATTGCAACTGCAATTTTTTGTGTGTGTGTGTGAGGAAGATCAGCCCTGAGCTAACATCTGCCAATCCTCCTCTTTTTGCTGAGGAAGACTGGCCCTGGGCTAACATCCATGCCCATTTTCCTTCACTTTATATGGGACGCATGGCCTGACAAGCAGTGCGTCAGTGCGCGCCCGAGATCCGAACCGGCGAACCCCAGGCCGCCACAGTGGGAGCACACGCACTTAACCACTTGCGCCACTGGGCTGGCCCCTGCAATTTTTTTATATACTCCTGAATAGGGTTTCCATTCTTCCATTCTTATTTCCAGTCTGACAAATTTGTACACAAATGCTAAAGCTAAATATAATTTTTATAATTTATCAGAATTTAAGTATTTTAAATTATCTTTAATTTTTCTGAAGTATTAATGTAAAAGGCAGAAAAATGAATAGTCACCATGTTAAAAAAATAAAATAAGTTTAAAAGTGTATACTATAGTGAACAATACCCAGCAGAACCCTAATTGAAAGGATACTCATTACTCAGCCACTGTTTCTACCACCCCTCTGTTTCAACTCACAAAGAAGGGGAACAACGAGTATCTGGAGAATGAATGAATAAGAGTCAAGATGTGATAGTCCAGGAGTGCAGGAGAGGCCAATAAGAACATTCAAAGAAAATAAACTGTTCAGTGGCATTCTGCTTTTCTGGAAATGTTTCTAGGCTATAGGGAGACATTGAAAGCAAGGAAACTAAGACTTATTGAGCTCTGCCTAGATACCAGGTGTGTGCTAGGTATTTTAAGTAGGTTATTTTCTTCAATCCTCAAAACAATCCTAAGAGAGTGTGAAGAAATCTGCCACTCCAGTAGACAGAGTTACATGTTTAAACATAACTACCAGTTAACCAAAATATTAAAATCTGTGAAGGCCTTTATGTTTTACACCTCCCTGCTGGACAAATACTGTAACTCTTTGAAAAGTATGTTATCAGCACTTTTTACACACAGCTTCTGAAGTCTGTTACTATGACTCCAAGATCCCCTCTCCTCTGCAGAATGTCATAGGACTCCTATTCCCCTCCCTTACCTCAGCGTCACAAGGTCTCCCCATCCCTGCTGACTAACTCAATTTCTAGAAAGGGTCTTAGGTTGTGTACAAGTAAAACAGAAAGCCTGTAATTTTGATGCATTCCAAAGTTGAAGGACTTTAAGCTCTTCAAGCTATATACATGTGTGCTCTCTTCTTCTTGCACACTGTTCTTACAAACTAATAGTCATGTTTTAAATTCTGAGTCTGGGTTCCTATTTTATATAACAAATGGTATTACCATTCTCATTCTACAGATGAAGAAACTAAGGAAAAAGAGGTTGAATATAAGACACCTGACATCTAATTTCAAGCACCTGAAGTTCCTTCAGCAATTTAAGTTTAAACTATATATTTTAATTATTTAGCTAGGGCAAGTCCAAATTAATCAGGTTTTACTCTGATAAAATCTAATTAAAATTAATGAGGTTTTTAGCCTAATAAAAATAGTCACTATTAAAGGTTAAACAGGAACACAAGTTAGCATTTAGGCATTCTCTCTGTTATTCATCTAAGAATGAAAATGTATTTCATATAGATATTTCATTAACATTTATAGATATATATATACACAATATATTTCACGTGTTTGTATCCTTAAAGCTACCTCATGTAGAAGAGTACATGATTATCATTAGCCTGATTTCAAACTTGAGAATCTGGCCCGAGGTAATCAGTCACAGAAATAAAAAGCATCATTTAGACTTTACCTCAGATTCTTCTCAATAATGGTTAATTATATGTACTCACTGGATTAATGAAATAGATTACATTTCAAAGCACAACCATGCTGAGGTTACTTTAAGGGAAAATAATTTTCCCTGTTTTAAAAGGGTGTGTTCAAAATTCAACGCGAGAAATGGATTTCCGCAAGTTGAATATCATATTTAACTTGCCTAACCTGACAATTCCATAGTTGAATCATTTCAGAAAATAAGCATTTTTCTTTAAAAGAACAGAAAATCATATTCACAATAGATAATTGATATAGAACAGAAAAATATATGCCAGCATAAAAAAGAAATATGCTCCCTTTGCTATTATTATTTTTTGCATAACAGTTGCTCTACTGGAAAAGCAACTCATCAACAACAAGCAGAATAAAAAAAGGACACGCTGTAAGACATTTGCTTCCAATTTTACCGCCAATAATTACTCATCTTAATTCCATTTTGGATTATTAAGTTTTGGCGACTTCTCTAGAATCTATTTAAAATTCCATTCTACACCCCCAAATCGTGAAGGTGAGAAACCTGACTGAAGAATGCTAAGCACATATGAAGAAAGAGCTTACCAAGTTTTCTTTTTCTTTTAAGTCCCCGGTTGATGGCTTGTATTTTAGTATTAGGAATAGCCCCAGTGTCTATAACTTCCTTAGATCTCTGCAGGAAACAGAAACAGACCACTAAAAAAGAGATAGTTTTACATCTCCCTAAATATATTTTCAAGCATGCTCTGGAAAGAATAATGAACCTAATTGTGAGTGTCAGGACCAATGATGCTAACATTCTGGGATAATTACATAAACGGTAACATTCTGGTTAACCTTTATGTTTCTTTCTCATTCAAAATTTCTCAGTAACTAAAACAGCGCCTGGAATACAGTAAACACTAAATAAATGCCTGTCAAATGAATAAACTTTTATTTTAAATCACTTTTCAACTGTTTCAAACCAAACCTAAAGTCAAATTTATTTACTTTTTTCTACATCCAAAACACACTTTGATTTCCATATTTATTATAATCGGCAATGCCTAAACTACATACAGATTTCATCCTACTTCTCTGTGTGTTTGAATAATATTCCAAGACAGCTTTATTTATGAAATTATAAAAGTACTACTTTTTGTTTTTAATCAAACCTATAGGATTCTAAAATGACTAAATGCTGGGTATAATTCACCCCAAAGCCTTCAATTCCAAGGGCTCTCAAGGGCTGGTACCTAAGATTCTAGCTCTCTCACAACCAAAAAATAAAAGTATTGTCTTAATGATGGAAGTAAGGTGAAGATTTTTAACCGACAGGGAACATTTACATATTTCTCTAAATTTAGAGATTTAGAATGAAATTCATCTTCAACTTTCACTAAGAATAAGAGAAATGTCTCCAACAACAGGACTTCTGGAATGCATTCTTTCTAGTCACAGACACCATATTCGAAGCAGTTCTGGTGGACTGGGTTGGCCACACTGAGAGCATAAGACACGTCAGAATACATACCAAAGCAGTTACCCAGCAAAGACAGATAAAACTTATAAAGAGTAGGCAGGAAAAAAAGGTTTAAAATCTGGACTAGACAAAATGTGAAATAACTAAAAGCTAGAAAAAGCTAAATATCCAAACTGGAGATACAATTAAATTACTGAGTGGTCATATTGCGGGATATTTATACAATCAATTAAAATGTCCACAAATGTTTAGAATAACATTGGAAAATATTTAATTTATTAAGACAGAAGATTCAACAGTACTCACCCACATCCCTTTTCCCTTCCCATACATTGAAAAAAAAAGACTAAATGGAAGCTTTTGAAATGTTGTATGTTGAGATTATTGGTGATTTTAGCTTTCATTTTCATAATTTCCAAATTTTCTATAATAAATCTGCTCTTATAATCATAAAAATCTATTAAACTCACACAATTCTAGCCTATACCTTTATTAAATACCCACGAAATACTTGCAAGAATATCTATTACATAAATTGGCCACACTTAAGATCTGAAAAAATTTTTCCTGTATAAAATATACCAAGATAACATTCTAACTCCTCTACCAATTCAGAAGGCCTCTTTCCAGATTGTAGAGAGTATCTGCAGCTTGAGAATTATATACAGAGTAAGCTGGAGGGCAATGAAAGGGGCAGAAAAATAGAGCAAGTCGTACCACAACTTGCACTCTTCATAGGTGTAAGTACCGTCTCATCGGTCATTCCCCGCCCACTAGATTTTAACACCTCCACACTACATCACCACACTCCAGGCAGCACCGATCACAGTGTAGTCTATACGAAGAAGATGCCTGCACTGCAATAAAGCCAAGAGTAACCACTGAAGTTGTGCAACTTTGCCTATCATATGGAAGGCACTGAGTTAGGTTTTGGCCTATATAAAGATGTTGCCCACCTGCAAGAATGCTATATTCTTGACAAGTTACTCCACATAGGTTGACAGTCTTTCAAATGTGGAACTAGGTAATGGTATTTGGATCTTTCAAGTTAAAAAATGACAGCAGCAGATTTTATCAGACAGAAACAAATGGAAACATTACCAAAAAAATAAAAGAAACAATTAGTTAATGTAGTTTAATTTCTACAAAAATAGTATGCTAACTTCATCTGCTAATGGCAAATAGTCCAGTTAGACACAATCTTCCTTCACTGTATATTTACACTGCTGCTGCAAAAGCAATAGTGAGTAACACTGCTAGTGCCTTAACATGCATCAAAGCAGAAAGGATCAAACTGCACATATTTAAAGTATACAGTTTGATTGTGTGTGTGTGTGTGCGTGTGTACCCATGAAACCATCACCATAATCAAGGAAATGAACATACCCATCACTCCAATGATTTCATTGCGTGAGTACTTATCATTTTAATATTCTGTGCAACTAAATGAGAAGCAGACATAAAAACTTCCACTGTAGACTGAAGACAACGATTGTCTCAAACAGCTCTTGTGTGATTGAGCTGGAAGCTAAATTAACCACTTTTCTCAAGAAAAAATTTTTTTTGTTTCATATACTTTGTCCAGGTTTATAGTTGTTTAAGGTGAGAGGTAAACCTGGTTCCTGTTACTCCATCTTGGCCAGAAGCAGAAGTCTACACAGTTACTTTTATCTGTCCCAAATTTGCCTTCCTTAAGCCTATACGGTGAAGGTAATATTTGTTTCCTCCTGGATCTGCAGATTTTGAGCAAATCCTTTTCCAGAGAGAAGAGTCCTGGCACGTTTAGTCTGTCCAATAGCAGGTCGTCCACACCCTTGATTATTTTGGTTATACTGCCCTGAAGGTGTGGTAACCAGAACAGGACCTAGCACTCCCAGCGTGACGGTAGCTTCATTTACCAAGGTTACACAGGACAGTATGACAATCTCTGCTTTAAGAAGCAGGTGTGATGGGGTAAAATGAACACTGGAATCAGAAGACTCAGGTTCAAGCCCCGGCTCAACACTTTACACTTGTGTGACTTTGGCAAGCTCACTGAACTCATGAGGCCTGCCTGCCCCATCTATAGATAGGCATAATAGTATATCTAAGGGGCCGACCCAGTGGCTTGGCAGTTGGGTGCACACGCTCCGCCACTGGCAGCCCGGGTTTGGATCCTGGGCGCGCACCGACGCACCGCTTGCCTGGCCATGCTGAGGCGGCGTCCCACGTGCAGCAACTGGAAGGATGTGCAACTATGACATGTGGCTCTCTACTGGGGCTTTGGGGAGAAAAAAAGGGGAAAAGGGAAAAAAAAAGGAGGAGGATTCGAAGTAGATGTTGGCTCAGGGCCAGTCTTCCTCAGCAAGGAGAGGAGAATTAGCATGGATGTGAGCTCAGGGCTGAGCTTCCTCAAAAAAAAAAAAAAAAAATAGTATATCTCACAGGTTGTTAAGAGGAGGAAACAAAATAATGGCCAAGAAAACACTTTGTAATCTGTGAGGTGCTGTACAAATGTAAAACGATAATGAAACGTATTTCCAATACTCCCAATAATCTTCAGTCTTTCTAACATTCCATCTTCCAAACCTTTAAGCTACCACAACACACTAAAAATTCTTAATAAGTATTAACTAATAAAAAGAAATAAATCATCTTCTAAGTATAATTTTAATTATTTCACCTTGGACTATACAGTCTGAATCAGGAAATCATTTAAATATGTGGCCCAACATACTTTCGAAAATTCATCCTAAATCTAACCTAGAAATTCCCTAACCCTTGTGTAAGCACTTGGAAGATGGCTTACATTCTTGGAATTTGGGCATTGCATAAGTGATAAAAACAGATCAATTCTTTGGGAATTATGGCACATATTGGGCTGAAATAGCAATTTTTAAAACATAAGCAAATTCATAAATGAGATCTGTTACTCACTTCTGTAACATTGTGGCAAGAAGTGCAATAGTATTTGCCTTCATCAGTAAGACCCCAGGAGACAGCAGCACACTGAGCGCAGCGCTCTTTGAACTCTTTCTACAGGAGAAAAGGAAAACCACATTCAATATATCGCACCTAAACCCTGCAATGCTACTCATAGGGTTCCCCGCAATTTTACTCTATAAATAAAAAATCATAGGAAATAGAAAATGTATCAGAGACATTATCAACAAACAAGGAGAACAGCAGTTCAGTCTTTGAGCAGTTTGAAACCAAATTAAACTGTTAAAGAAATGTTTCTAAAATATGCAGTGTGTGAGGGAAAAAAAGAAGAAACGGTGGTGGGGGTAAAATGGAAAAAAAGATGAGTAAATAAAACTCCTTGAAAATGCCGTGAGGGAAAAAGATGACAAGATTTAAGTAGAGAGAAGATTTAAAAAACAGCAATAGCCTACCATTCGGAACTTCCTCGAGGACACTAAAGACACACACTCACCACAAAAGACCCAGATTTTTATCAGGGTTGTTTCGAGTTTCGATTTATTCATTCAGCAGCGTAAGGAGCATCAGCTTCGCAGGTACCAGGCACTTAACAGGGGCTGGGGGAGTAAGCCCTTCTGCACACACACAGCCTGGCACTAAATTACTGACTCCCAGCTCTTTGGTGTTTGACATCATCATTGATCTAATCACCGAACACTCCTTTAACACCCCAGAGTGAGGCATCTTATGCAGCACGGCAAAAATGAATGCCAAATTTACTCCGACGAGTTGGTCAAGTTTTCATCAACCTGTTGTGACAGCCATCATTACCTCGGCGTGCCCCCAGACCCCACTGGGCATCCCTGCGCCAGCCCGCGGCGAGGACTCGCAGGGACCGGCGGGGGCGCTCGGGGGCAGGCCGGCCCCAGCCCCGGCGCTCCCTCGCCCACCCAGCATCCAAGGGAACCCCGGGGTCCCGTCGAGAGAGGATGAGCCGTGTGGGTGGCCACCCCACGGAGCCCTCCTCCTCCGGAAACACACCTGCACCCTCCCCTCACCCCCACCCGCCCCCGCCGCACACTCCAGCCTGGGTCCGAAACCCGCGCGCACACGCGCGCGCCAGCGCCCTCCCTTTCCCCGCCCCGCCCCCTCGGGACCGCGGCCCCCACAGCCAGCCGGCGTCCTCCGCCCGCTGCTCCTCGGCCTCACTTCCCCCCGCCCCGCCGTCGGCCCGCCCGGCGCGCTGCCCCCTCACCGCCTCCTCCAGGTCCATAACGGCGCCGCCGCCCGGGCCCGTTACCCGGCACGAGCCCAGCTTCCGGGAGCGCCGGGAGGAGCCCTCCGGACGGAAACGGAGACCCTGACTTTGGATTCCGGGCGCCTGCGGCCCCGGGAAAGCCTCTGCTGGCTCCGGGGGCAAAGCTCCGCAAATTCTGCATCCCCCTCCCAGACTGCATCCCTTTCTAGTCGAGGTTACTAAAACTAGCCAGTGAGAAACTGGGCGGTGCCTAAGGCTGAGCTGATTCAATCACGCCCCTCTGACGGCGTTCATTCCGAGACCCCCTTACTCTGTTAGGCTGCAGGGAGGCGGCGTGGAGGGCTCGGGCTCTCCCCTTCCCGCGGGCTTCTGATAGGCCCGGGGAGGCGCGCGGTGCTGGAGGGGAGAACACATGTTGCTGAGTTAAACCTGGGTGTCCTCTCACGGCTCTTCTGCTTCTTTGTGCCTCAGGTTCCTCCTCTGTGAAAATCAGATATTACCTGTGAGTCCCTTATCATTGAGCCTCACGTAGTAAGTGCTCACTCGTTTTAGCCTTTATTATTGTTCCTTCATTGGGCACATTCATTCCTTGATTTATTCATTAAACGGGCGCTGTTTTAGGTCCTGGGGATTCAGCAGTGAACAGAGTCAACAAGAGTCCCAGCCTTCATGGAGAGTATATTCTGGTGGGGAGAGACAAAAATAAATAAGGAAAATATATGTATGATAAACGGGCATGAGGGCCAAGGAGAAAAGCAGGAAAGGACAATGGGAGCTAACGGTGGTTTCCATTTTAAACGGGGTGGTCAAGAAAGGTCTCACTGACAAACTGACCTTTGAGGCAAAGGAGCAAGAGCCATGTTGGGAACATCATTCCAGGTGGAGGGAACACTAAGTTCCAAGGCCCTAGTCCTGAACCTTATGCCATGTTATTTAAGGATCAGCAAGGAGGTCAGTGAGGGGCTGGAACATGAGCTAAAGGGAGAGTAGAAAATGAGGTCGGGGCAAAATATGGTTGTAAGGACTTTACTAACTTGGAGAAATGGGGGAAGACATTGGAGGAGTTACGTCATCTGACTTTTGTTTGACAGATCAGTCTGGCTGTTGTGGGGAGAATAGAATGATAGTGGTCAAAGGTAGAAGTTGGGAGATGAATCAGAAGACTATTACAATAATCTAGACAAGCTATAATGGTAGCTTGAACCAGGTAAAAGCAGTGGAGACAGTGAGAAGTACATGGTTCCTGGAAATACAGATTTTGGAGGTAGAGCCAAAAGGATGTCTTCATGGACAAGAAGTGGGCTGTAAGAGAAAGAAAGGAGTCGAGGATGACTTCAAGATTTTTGCCTGAGCAACTGGAAGGGTGGAGCTATCATTGACCTAATAAGGGCAGACTGTAGGTGGAACAGTTTGGCAGTGGGGTAGAGGGAGAATCAGGAGTTTGATTTTGGACATGTCAAGGTAGAGATGCTTCTAAGACAGCCAGGTAGAATTAGATGAGATCACCAAGGGAGTGGCTCTTTATTCACTCACTCCTTATTCACTTGTTAATTCATTTATTTCACAAAGTCCTTAAATACCCACTATATGCCAGGCACTGTGCCAGCAATCGGGAAATGAGAGATAAACAGGGCAGAGTCCCTGCCTTCAAGAGGCACCCAGGCCAGTGGAGCAATTAGTCTCATTATTTTATCATGGCACTAGATAAATGCTCTTCTCTAGTTGTGTCACCCATGTCACTTACCAGGCTTGGCTGTGTGCAACTGGGCCAAGATCTGATTGAACACCAAAGCCTGATTGAAGGTATTAATATATCTAAAGAAAGAATGTGTAAATCAGAAAGAGATGTATTTAGCCCTTCAAGCCTAGCAAGAGGACCTAACCATAGCAAGGACCCCAGCACTACTATTATGGACAAGCAGTTAATATACCCAAAGTTCCACACCTCTTCAGTGACAGACACAGAGCCCAGCACTAACCATTACTCACCCCTGTCAATAACTCAAGGCCAATAAATTTAAAAATTTTGATGAGATGGACAAATTCCTAAAAGAATACAAGTTATCAAAAGGTATGCAAGAAGAAGTAGAAAGTCTGAACAATCCTATATCTATTTAAGAAATCAACTTTGTGTATAAAAACCTTCTCACAGAGAAAACCTCAATCTCAAAGGAAGTAAAACTGGTAAATTCTACCAAACATTTAAGAAAGAAATAATACCTGTCTTACACAGACTCTTCCAAATAATGGAAAAAGAGAGAGCATACACCAATACGTCTTATGAAGCTAGTGTAACTGTGACACCAAAACCTGGTGAGGATATTTCAAGAAAAGTAAAAATTAAAGCCCATTCTCTCTCAGAAACATAGATGCAAAAGTTCCAAACAAAATATTGGCAAATTGAATGCAAGTCCTTTGTTGTATTCAGCAACATGTAAATAGGATAATAAATGAAAACCAAGTTGGGTTTATTCTAGGAATGCAAGGTTGGTTTAACATTTAAAAATATATAAATCAAATGGTAATCCAGATAGTATGGTGCAAGGACAGACCAATAGATCATTGGAACAGAATAGAAAGTCCAGAAACTGACCTGTAAATACACATAAGATAACTCGATTTACAATCAAGGTGCTACTAAAATTCAGTGGGGAAAGGATAGTTTTTCAATAAATGAATCTAGATCAATTGGAAGTTCATATGAAAAAAATATTGACCCCTACGTCACACCATACACAAAAATTAGTTTGAAATGGATTACCCACATGTAATAGGTAAAACCTAAAGCTTCTAGGAAAAAAATAGGTAAATATCTTTATGACTTGAAATAGCATAGATTTCCTAAATAGGTCACGAAACACTATCCACGAAAGAAAAGTTTGTTAAATTAGACTTCATTTAAATTAAGAACTTCAATTCATCAAAAGACATTGTTAAGGCAAACTAAAGACTGAGAGAAGATATTCACAATACATGTATTCAACAAAACACATATCCACAAATAAAGGATTCAATAAACCAATAAATTTCAATAAATTCAAGAAATCAATAAAAATAACAAACAATCCAATAAAAAATAGGCAAAAGACTTGAACAGCTGTTTCACAAAAGAGGAGAGTTAAAAGATCAATAGATATATGAAAAAGTGCTCAACGTCGTGACTCATCAGAAAGATGCAAATTAAAACCACAGTGAGATGCCACTGCACATCCACCAGAGCAGCTAAAGTTAAAAAGATGGACAATATCAAGGTTTGGCAAGAATATGGATAAACTGGATCTCTTCTGCATTGCTGAGGGTATAAATTGGTAGAAGTATTTTGGAAAACTATTTGGAAGTAATGCTAATTATGACCCAACAATTCTACTCCTAGATATATATACCCAAGAGAAATTAGTACATATGTTCACCAGAAGATATGCACAATTACTTTTATAAAGCTTTCTTATAATAGCCAAAAATTACAACCAAATGTTCATCAATAGGAGAATGGATAAGCAAATTGTGATATAGTCATATAGTGGAATACTATACAGTAATGAGAAAGAATGAATAACTACTACGTACAGCAACTTGGATGAATCTCACAAATATCATATGTGCAAAAGAAGCCTGTGGTGGATTTAAAATGGACTTAAATTCTTTGTCACTCTTCCCATTGAAAGATGAGGTCCATTTCCCCTGCTCCTTGAATCTGCAATGGTCTTGTGGCCAGCTTTGAGCAATGGAATGCTGCTTCAACGATATTTTATAACTTCCAAGCAATGTCTTTGCAGCTTTTACCCTTCTTCAAATGTGTCTTCCTGAAAGCCAGCTGCCATGGCAAGAAGTCCAACTACCTTAAGACAAACATACTGTGAGGAAGCCCAAGCTAGCCATGCGCACTGGAGAAGCTCCATAAAGAACTGAAGTGTCAGACATGTGAATGAAACGTTCTTGGACCTCCCAGGCTAGTGAATGACCTCAGCTGATGCTAGGTGGAACAGAAAACCACCCACCCAAGTCCTGCCCACATTCCCTCCTCTAGATAACAACATATCAGAAAAAAATTTTGAGCTCACGTCCCCATTATGCAGGTATGTATTTTTGTATAAATTATATACATGCAGGACTGTTCCAGTGATGTATATAATAGGACACTCATAATGTAAATATTAAGATGATAAGATAAATAAAATTTAAATAATTTATTATTTGTTAATATAAATAACTTTCCTTTCAATGAAAATATTAGTAACAATTATGCAATTAAAGAGTTCACTATTTTTAAAAATCTTGGCTTAACACTGTGATACAGTGATTTGTAGTTCTTGTCCTGAATTCAATTTACTATAATATTTCTTTTTAATGGCGCTCATAACAGGAAAAGATATCTCACAAAGATACAGAGAACCAAGTGTTTTCATACCAATGGAAACATTTGCAAACATCTGTCTCAAAATGCTCTCTCCATAGCATAAACTTCTTCCGAAAAAGCAGTTACTTTTTCATGCATTAGACAAATGAGCACCTACACTTCCCAGGCACTTTTTAAGCACAGAGAATAAAGCAATGAACAAAAACAGTGTTTTTTTCCCTACCTCGTGTAGCTTACATGCTAGCT